GCATCAACGATTAGGACATCCTTCTTCTGTCATAGTTAAGCAAGTAGTCAATAAAGCCAATCTTTCCTTGTCACATAGCCATGTTAGTGATTCGGTTTGTGAAGCTTGTCAATGTGCCAAGAGTTACCAACTTCCCTATCGTAGGTCAGATAGTATATCTCATGCTCCTTTAGAGCTTATTTTCAGTGATGTATGGGGCCATGCCCGAGACTCCTTTGGAAGAAAAAAAAATACTATGTTAGTTTCATTGATGATTACAGTAAATTCACTTGGATTTATTTACTCAAGCATAAATCTGAAGTTTTCTCTATATTCCAAGAGTTTCAAAAACTTGTCGAACGTCACTTTGACAGAAAAATTTTGACAGTCCAAAGTGACTGGGGAGGGGAGTATGAGAAGCTCCACTCCTTCTTTCGTAGCATATGCATTGCACACCATGTGTCCTGTCCTCATGCCCATCAACAGAATGGCTCCGCCGAGCATAAACATCGCCACATTGTTGAAGTTGGTCTCTCTTTGCTTGCCCATGCTTCCATGCCTCTCAAATATTGGGACGAAGCTTTTATCACTGCCACATATCTTATTAACCGTTTGCCCAGCAAAGTCATTGGCAAGTCTACTCCTTTGGAACGTCTCTATAATCAAAAACCTGATTATAACTCTCTAAAAAAATTTGGGTGCGCATGCTATCCCAATCTTCGTCCATACAATCGTCATAAACTTGAGCTTCGTTCTACTCAATGTGCTTTTCTTGGCTATAGTAATCTTCACAAAGGCTATAAGTGCTTGGAAATTGCTACTGGACGTATCTATATTTCCAGGGATGTTGTTTTTGATGAAACTTTGTTTCCTTTTGCCAAACTTAATCCCAACGCAGGAGCCCTTCTTCATGCTGAAATAGCCTTGCTCCCAGATCACGGGGGTGAATTAAATAAAGTTGATCATGTGGAAAATTCCAAAGAAAACTGTAATTCTGCAGATTGTGGTCGTCATTTTATGTGTGTAGATCCGGACGAAACAGGCGCAAGATCCCATGCTGATTTGGTTGGCAGCGGTGCTGGATCCCATACAGATCCTCACGTCATCCCGTCTGTCTCTGGTGGCGCGCGATCCCAGGAGGATGTCCCTCCCCTGCATGCGTCCACTAGCGCACGGGTGGCCGACCAGATGGACCCCGCCTGTCTTGCCTCGCGATTGGGTGAGACCGTCCGCCCAGGCGCGGGCGCAGGTGCACGTGAGGCCGACAACCGCTCCCGGGTGGAGCCCGCCAGCCCAGGCATGGGCGGAGACGACGCGCTGATTGGCGCCAGCCCAGGCGTAGGAGGCGACGACGCGCTGATTGGTGCGACTGGCAACAGGGGGACACCCGCGTCTGCAGCGTCAGGATCAGCTACAGGGGTAGAATCTGCCTTGGATCCGGTGCCTGGATCTTCTGTGGAGGTGTCTACTACTTCTGGATCTCCTGTGGCTACGTCCGCAGCACTACCTCAGCCTCCTCGTCGACACACTCGGTCACAGTCAGGTATTATCAAAGAAAAGGAGTATACTAATGGTACGGTACGATATGACAGAGTCAAACGTGCTTTTCTTAGTAGTGTTCGAGAACCAAATAATTTGCATGATGCTCTAGCTCATAAAGAATGAAAGGAGGCTATGGATAATGAATATGATGCCCTCATGAAAAATAGAACTTGGCACTTAGTACCTCCAAAGAAAGGTAGCAATGTTATAGATTGCAAATGGGTATATAAAATAAAAAGAAAACCTGATGGAAGCATAGACAGATACAAGGCTAGATTAGTTGCCAAGGGGTTTAAGCAGAGATTTGGTATTGATTATGAAGATACTTTTAGTCCTGTTGTTAAGGCAGCCACTATTCGACTTGTATTGTCTATTGCTATTTCCAGAGGTTGGAGTTTACGTCAGCTAGATGTTCAGAACGCGTTTCTTCATGGTGTTCTTGAGGAAGAAGTGTTCATGCGGCAGCCACCTGAATATGAAAATCAAAGTACACCTCATCATGTCTGTAAGTTGGATAAAGCCTTATATGGTTTGAAACAGGCCCCTAGAGCCTGGTACTCAAGGTTGAGCATGCAGTTACAACAACTTGGGTTCACATCATCCAAAGCATATACCTCATTGTTCTTTTATCATAAAGACAATATTACTATATTTGTGCTTGTTTATGTTGATGATATAATTGTTGCAAGCTCAAGTTCAGATGCTACCACTTGTTTGCTTAAAGATTTAAAGTTAGAGTTTGCTCTCAAGGACTTGGGAGATCTTCACTATTTTCTTGGCATAGAAGTGAAGCAGATCAAGGATGGTATACTGCTTACACAGGAAAAATATACAACTGATATACTACGGAGAGTAGGCTTGTACAATTGTAAACCTGTAAGTACACCAATTTCAACTTCTGAAAAACTTACAATTGAGAGTGGAGAAGCACTTGGACCAGAGGATGCAACTAATTACAGAAGTGTTGTGGGTTCTTTGTAGTATCTGACTCTTACACGTCCTGATATTTCTTACTCTGTGAATAAGGTATGTCAGTATTTACATGCACCTAGAACAACTCATTGGACTGCAGTCAAGAGGATTTTGAGGTATCTAAATTTTTTTGAAGGACTTGGGCTTCAGATTACCAAGTCTTTTTCTCTACTTGTTACTGCCTACTCTGATGCAGACTGGGCAGGGTGTGCTGATGATAGAAGACCTATAGGTAGTTTTCCTGTGTTTCTGGGAACTAATCTTGTGTCATGGAGTGCAAGAAAACAGGCTACTGTCTCAAGGTCAAGTACAGAGGCTGAATATAAAGCTTTGGCTAATGCTACAGCTGAAGTAATGTGATACAAACGTTGCTTTATGAACTTGGAATCAAGGTTCCACAAGCTGCTAGATTATGGTGTGATAATATTGGTGCAACTTATCTTTCAACTAATCCTGTTTTTCATGCACGTACCAAGCATATTGAGGTTGATTTCCACTTTGTTAGAGAAAGGGTAGCTCGAAGGCTACTTGACATTCGGTTTATACCTACTGGAGATCAACTTGCTGATGGCTTCACAAAACCTCTTACTATGAGGAGGTTGGATGAGTTCAAGTACAATCTTAACCTCGCGAAAGTATCTTGAGGTTTAGATTGAGGGGGAGTGTTAGATGATATTGTGTAGAGATAGGAGAGGTGTTTTAAACTTGTATCTTTCTATCTCTTCTTCTGTTGTAACCTCCCTGATCTCCTCTAACGATCGATCTCGATCTCTCTCGATCTCTTGTAAGCCACGACACACATTGATATAAATATAGATGCGGCCCGAGCAAAGGGTTCAACGCTTCCACCAAAGTTTACAGTAGTTAGCTCCCATGCGTGGTGCGCGGATAGGCCAAGTGGTTTTCCTTTGTTGCCTATAAAACGAGGCATTGTGGGAGGGGGGAGCGGTTCACATCACCCACTTCTTCTTCTTGCTCTTCCTCGCGCTCATTGTTGTAGCCCCCAAAATCTCCACTGTGTGCTCCATTTCTCTCGCCGCTACGTGTTCTTTCGAGCTTTTCTTCATCGGGGATGTATCACACCAAGAAGAAGAAGGTCAGGACCGAAGTCACCGTTGCCCCACCCCCCTTCAAATTGGCTGGAAAAAGGGGAATTGGTCGACATCGATGGTAGGTGATGAGCTGCTGAAGAACTACTCCCCGCGTGGGCCTGATTCAAGCAAGGGATCTAAAGAACTAGGGGGGTGGTCAACAAGTTGATGCCAACCCCAGTTGGGGATGACCGAGTGCTGCACACCTCGTTCATCGAGCGGGGCTATCGCTACCCTAGAATTACTTCGTGCAAGGGCTCCTCTTCTTCTACGATTTGTAACTCCATCAAAACTTACTCCCAAATGGCGTCCTACACACCGCGTGATTCATCACTACGTGTGAAAATTTTATGGGGACTCAATCCTATCGTGGGTTGTGGAAGCAGGCCTTCTACTTGATGGAGTAAACTATCAAGGCCGACAGGCAACTGTCCATCAGTGGAGGAGTCGGTGTCCGGACAAAGATCAACACCAAATATAATCTGCATTTTCCAACATCGTGTGTAGGCGACATGAAGTTCCGTGTGTTAAATCTATAGGTGACCAAATGGGCCGTGCTTCGTAGGCCGGCCCAGAAGCACGCATGCCGGGCACGCAGCTAAACGAGTCGTGCCAAACCAGCGACATGTTTGGGGCCATGCCTGGGCCTCGAGGCGAGGCCCGACATGGCATGTTTATTTTTTTTACTTTTTAATTTGCCATGCCTTTTTTAGAACTTTTTATGTGCCATGCCTGGGCCTCGAGGCGAGGCACACGTGGGAGCTCCTATACAGCGCCGCAGGCGCCCGTTAACGATCCGGCTCCTGCAGCGCTGCTAGCATGGGCCGACCCACTAGCATGCTGCACTAATTTTTTTTAGTTTTTCTTTTCTGAAAATAAAAATATGAAATGAAGAAAGTTTACAGATTTAAAGAAAAAAATTCATCCATTAAAAAAAATATGTCCATATCTTTAAAAAAGGTTCATGAAATTTGAAAAAGTTCATCAAATAGAAAAAAGGTTCATCCAATTTCGCAAAAGTTCATCAAATTTGAAAAAAGTTCATAGAAATTGAAAAAAAAGTTCATGGAACTGAAAAAAAGTTCATCCATTTTCAAGACAAAATGTTCATTAAATTTAGAAAAATTTCATCAATATTCAAAAAAGTTCATCAATCTCAAAAAAGTTCACAGAATGTTTTTAAAAAAAAATGGTCAACCGGCGCCTAGATAGGCCGACCCATTTATGGACGCCACAGGCGCCAAATAGGAAATGCCGGCACACGTGCAGGCCCGGCAGGACGCGCTTATGTACGGGCCTCGGCGTGCCGTGCCATGCCCGGCCCGTTTAAGGGTGAGCCGTACCGGCCCGTTGGCCAGGTCTTAAACCCTCCTCTGCTTCTGTCTCCCTCCCGAACTGTCGAACTCGGCGACTTCAATGGCGCCGCCGCCGGTGATTCCGCGGGAGGCGTGGGACGGCTGCAGCGTGCTCCTCGACATCAACGACGGCGACCGCCTCGCCTTCTTCCGCCTCACCCCCGGCGCGTCCGTACCCTCCCTTCCCCTCCCCTCTTTAGCCTCCCGCTCCGAAACCCTAGCTGGTGCGGTCGGGCTAACAACGTCTCTCTGTTGTGTGGTGGCGCAGGACGGTGAAGATAGGGGACAAGAGCTGCTCGCTGCAGCCGCTGCTCGGCCGCCCCTTCGGCTCCCTCTTCCGCGTCGGCCCCGACGGCCTCGTCCCCTGCGCCGCCACCGACGCGTCGTCTCAAGGCAAGCAAGCATGACAATGTTTTTTCTTCCAGTCCGTTGATGCACTCTTTAAAACAAATTCTGCTATGTTATCTTAGTAATAGCAATGGCTGGCATTGGTACAGATGATAAGGCACGAGACGGCGGCGGCGCCGGTGGCCAGGCGCAGGACGAGACCAGGGACAATAGGTCCCTGGTTGACAATAACACAGCGCAGACGCTGTCGAGCGAGGACATAGAGGCGATGAAGCGGTGAGGATTCGACCGTTTTCAACCGTGTCCTGGTTGAGTAGGATATTTGTTTCTCTGCTCTCTGTTCTAACAAGATTTTGATGACATGCGGTTTTAATAGAGAGGGTGCGAGCGGCGACGCGATTGTGGAGGCCTTGATAGCAAATAGCTCCACATTTGGAAATAAGACAGTTTTCTCACAGGTTAGTATCAGTTACTGTCTAGTTTGATTCCTTGCTGTTCTGGAGGACGCTGATGAGGACTGATTTAGTTCAACCTGTTCGGTTGCAGGAGAAATACAAACTGAAGAAACAAAAGAAATATGCACCGAAAGTGCTTCTGCGACGCCCCTCTTCCAGAAGGTATCCTGTGCTTCCCTTTTTGCAGCAGGAAAAATATCAGATATCTTTGGAAAGCGAATACTTTGTCAAACTTGCGGTGATGTATGAGTATGACAATCACATATGTGACCATATGTAGTGTTTATTTGAATATAAAGATACATCTTCTGATTAGCTCTGTGTAGTGGTGTCTTGTCCAAAGTAGTGAACCAATATCTTTGAAGCTTCTTCTTAACTGAAGTTTGAAGATTGTTGTAGAGTGTGAACGACGTAGGACTAGTAAGAAAGAATTTGTTGCTTTATTTGTAATTTCGCTACAAACAATTGCTGATAACACATCTAGCATATGGGCTGTTGCTTTCTATTTCCACATCAACGCTATGTCTCAATGGTGGCAATCTAGTCTGGTGTGCCTAAACTTACATAGCCCAGCTAAGCTTAGGTCACACCAACTTCTACCGGGTAGTGTGTTGCACTGTTGCAACGTACAATTTGAAGGCATTTGAATACACGCTTCCTCTGTGTTTCTTCGAGAGATGCAGGAACAGAATGATTATATATGCTATCATCATTCATCAATACAACCAAATTTGTGCTTCTTAATTCGAAATCAACATGGAACATATTGAATCGGGAGATAAAGTGGGTAGAGAGGGAAATTAAGAAGAAGACTGAAATGAAATGTTTTTGAACTAAGCCTATGAAATTTGAGTCCCACTGCTGTTCTTCTGAATTTTCATGTATCCTCTATTTAATTAGAAAGTGGTGTTATAGGGTGTTCAGAACAAGAAATAACTTTTTGCTTTATAAAAATCGCGGTGCAAATTAATTTTTTAGGTTGGCCGGGTGGGCTGGGTGAGTTTTAATTCTCTCTCAATAGAACATGTCGGTTTCCCAGCTTTTGGTTTGAAAGATTACCGACTGAACTCGATTAACTTCGTTATCTGGAAAGTTGGCGTAATTTTGAAATAATTCTGTTGTGACTTGTATTTGCAAAGTGCTTGGCACTTGAAAAGATAATTGCCTTTTTTATTTTATTTTGCTCATTAGACTTAACATATACTACTGGATGGTATGCAAAATTATCTAATATTGTTGTTCCCTTTTATGCTACAGTATTTGTGAGACATATTTCAAGAAGTACCCAGCTCGAATAGGGTAATTATTATTTCCCTTTCATTCTATTTTTGTCATTGTCATCATCATCGTCAATTTCTTGATCTTGTTGCCTAGAAACAACAGAAGTGCATAGCTATAGCACTTAGTTAATGCTGTCATTTTTGTGTTCCCCAGGTTTATGCGAGTTGATGCGCTCTCCCTCTTGTTGTCTATGGCAAATGTTGGTGCATATTCAGATGTGCTTGCCGTTGATATGGTGGGGGGTTTAGTTGTTGGAGCTGTAGCTGAACGCTTAGGAGGTAAATTATGCTTTCTTTTGTGGTACTGAACATTATTTGGTGTTAACCAATCGAATGGAATTTAGTTTTATGGAGATTGTGCTCCATTTTTTTTGAACTGTAGATTGTGCTCCATTTAATTTGTTTTTTCAAAAGACACTATTTTAACCTAGCTGTTTGTTGAAAAATCACCCTGATTTCAGTGGGAAGCTGTTACGTATCAATCTTTTACTTGGTATGTGTGCAATAGAAAATGTTGTGGCATGTAATCACTAATTCTCACAAGTCACGCTTGTTTCCACCAAACTGCAATATACATCTACGAACATGAAAGCTATAGGTTCACCTGCCACTGCCAGCTCGAAGTGTTTGTTAATATTTGTAAATGTGTAAAGTAAACCTGATTCTTGTGTGTAGTCCATTGCCATTTTAATGCATATGTCAGTTACAATCATTATTGATTGTCTCTGTTATTTCTATTGTAGGTACAGGATATGTTTGTAGCACATATCTTGGATCAGCGCCCAGCTCCATAGATATAATAAGAATGTATAATTTGAGCAGCGACATGACCAGCAGGTAAATCCACTTTTTAGCACTATATGGCTTCTCATTTACAGAGGATTCTCATTTAAGGACATAATTAGTTAGAGAACCTTCGGAATACAAGCAGGAGTATAAATTTACATTAATCTGTAACACTATAGTGTACCCTTAAACTGGCTACAAGAGCATACGAAGAATGTTGGTAAATACATTATCTACGATTTCAGATAATATATATGCAGTACCATTCTATCACTTTCTATTTTATCTGAATTATCATCTATTATCACTATGTAAATGGAGCTGTATGAAGCAGTTGAAATTATAATTGAAGTAGCAAGTGTTGAATACTTCAATATATAATTTCTGTAATGCTCAAGAGTTGAAATTATAATTATCATAAACACTCGATTCAGGATTTTCCAGGCACCACTTGGTGACCTCTGCTCCTTGCAAAGTGTTGGCGATGCTCCTTCTGTTCTCAGTGGCAGCATTCAATGTGATGTAGTTGAACCTGCTGCTGTACCAGATGAGAGTCTTCAGTCATCCCCTGCAAAACCTATTAATACAGCAGTATCAGATGGGAATGCGCAGTCAATGACAGTGCAGCCAATTAATATGGAGGTCCCTGAGCCTGCAACGGATGATCACCTTAATCAAGGTGACATTTCTATGTCGGGTAAGTAGTGATCAAGCCAACACTAAGAACTTTCCACAAAAATGCAATGTTCCAACTGTTGCTACTACATTGATCTGAAGATTGCAAAGGAAGTAATGGCAATTCAATAGCTCCCAAAGCACCGAGAGCAGGAAAAGCACCCTCACCAGAGAGGATGAAATACTGGGGAGAACATGGGTTTAGCAGGTAACTCGAAATATACTCCATCAGTAGAAGACAAGTGCAGTATAAGTCTAAATATTTTTGTTAATATACTGGTTTTATGTCAACACAGTTTGATTGTTGCTGCTCCTGACCATGAGGTAGAAAGTGTGGTTGCGGATTTGCTTCCACTCCTGTCTTATTCGGCCCCATTTGCTATCTATCACCAATATCTTCAGGTAAATATTATTCTTTACAATTGACACCGAAGCATGGCAGTTCTTACTAAATGTTTGGTTTACGGCGCTTCTGCAGAGAGCTTACCTTTCTAGGTAGAATTTTACTTCAAAAAATATTATCCTGTCACTTGCCTAAAATCATTAGCCTATGTGTTGAATTGACTTGGTTTTTGTTTCATTCTTTTATAAAGCGTGGTTTTGATGTTACTTATCTTTTTGTTTTCTGGTATCTACATGCAGCCTCTTGCGACATGCATGCATAGTTTGCAAGCATCGAAAATGGCAATTGGGTTACAGATTACTGAACCCTGGCTCCGAGAGTATCAGGTCAGTACATTAGCAATGATGATGTTAAACCGCAAATAATTATACTTCAGAGTTTTGTTTGAGTTTTCACTTTGTTTGTCTTTTATAAGCCTGATTAATGTGTCATGCCAGTAAGGAATATAGAACCTATCTGACGCCTAAACTTGGAAAATGTGTCTGTTTACACTGCACTTCTGGTCGCCATTCTACTTAAATACTAATAAACTGATGAGGTTTATGACGTGATGAACATGCTCAACACTAATAATTTAATGGACAGGTTTTTATCACATGTTGGTTTGACACACAAGGTCGATCGGCTATCACCTGGGCCCATTAGGCTTGAAATACAACAAAGGATCTGTCATTAGTGCTTACTACTTTTGTGTGTAAAAAGTTGTGATTCCTTTTTTTTTCAATCTCGCTTTCTGGTCTGTGGATACAGGTCCTTCCATCGCGCACCCACCCACACATGCAGATGAATGCGTTTGGTGGTTATATCTTGAGCGGCATCCGGATACACAAGCCTGACCCCTAGTAAGCGCGAGTGCCAGAGAAGTCATCTTGCATGATGTAGCGCAAGCTTGTCTCGTGATTTATATTTGGTTCACGCTGTTGTAGCTTCCTTTTTCTAAGGGTTGCACTGATACGGTTTGGCCGTGGCTTTTTCTGCAGGTTTCAGTGATACGGTTTGGTTGCGCCTTAGGTCAGAGAAAGATGATATCTAAACCTGAAAACAAGTATGTCATCCTTCCCTCCACTGTGGGAAGGACATGTAATTGTAACATATGCCGCCATTAGTTTCCTGGTGTTGTAACTGTGGTCTATTCACATCCCAGTTTGATCTATTCAGTTTTCTACAAGCAGTGCAACATTGTATTACAAAGAGGACACACAATAGGATGATATGCGGCCATCGGAGGAGCATTGGGGCGGTTGGCCGATGCGGGGAGGAGGGGGGAAGCCGCCGGATCTTGCTTGCCTCCCGCGAGGCAGGTGGCGTTGGTGTATACACAGATGCACATTTTTATAATTTTCCTCTCTAAGTCAAGAGGGAAAATGCTCCTCAAAATTGAAAGCACATATTTGTTTTCTTGCATTGAATTGAACATATGAAAGCCAAAGGCAGTGCACCGATAATGTTTTGATAATTGCAATGCGCTAACAGGGATTTGAACATTCATCATTGGAAAAACAACGCAAGCCGCATGGATTTTTGTTGAATACAACTCGCGATTTTCGTGAGAGAACCAAATCCAAGTTGGTGAAGATCATGATTTGGGCAGGCACGGTATTGGGATCGTTTGATCGATTTCCTTGATTTGATCGCTACTTAATGGACGTGCGCTCAAAGGATACAAACAGGGATTCGCAAACAAAAAGGGGAATTCGTAGTCACTTTTAAGGAGCTACTCCCTCCGCAAACTAATATATGCTCTTATATTAGTTTACGGAGGGGGTACTTAAATTGTTTTGATTCCTACGTTATTTGATGCATCATGTTAACTTTTCAAGCTACAACTTGGTTTCATCTCGCCGCACAAACAAAAACTCAGTTTCTTCAAGACTACAGCAGAACGTTTGGCAAACAGATTTGTGGTTAAACATTCCAAGTGATATCTAAATCGTTACCATGCGGTGAGCGTTCAAAACTTGTTGAAAGAAAAAGACTAACTGAATCGTTTTGGTTCCCACTTACTCAAAAGAATCGTACTTATTCAGTGGGACATGTGGACATCCTAAGCTACAACTCTGTAAATTTCATAATAATTCGTAGACATTCAGAAACCCGCCCTCCTCAGTTTTGCCCAACCATGTAGTAGAATAGAACAAACGTCTCATGTAACTGCGCGATACAGACTTGAGATGTAAGACGGCGGCGCTGGCTTCGTGGCCTAGACACCTCGGCGGCGGCAGCGACGCTTGCTCCACGGTTAGGCGCGTGGCGCCCTTGTTGGAACTAATCGAGAGGCAAATCGAGAGAGACAACAATGAATCAAATCTCACTTCTTTACTAGATGGCATCTGCTATTTATACAAGGGAAAGGACACCTTTGAAAAAGGTGTCTGTTCAGAGGAGGTGCCTGTTCGGCAGGAACCGACGCGGCAGTTTACAACTGCCTGCGGTTAGTACAAGCAGGAATTAATCCCATAATTAACACATGGTTAATTAATTCTAACACTCCCCTTAATCAATGCTTGATCTTGTGAGCAGACATCATCTTGATAAAGTTTCCTCCAAAACCCTGTGGGAAAAATGAGGATAGAGGTGTTTGATATGTTGCCAAAAACTCCTTCAAACCCAGTAGGAAAAATAAGGAGAAAATGACGCAACATATAATGATTATTGTCTGTTTAACTCAATATGAGAAAAACCCATAGAATTAAAAGGACAATAAATATGTCGTATATACTTTCTTAAAAACCCCGGTGGGGAAAACAGAAAATATGACATATGGTCTTGTGTTGATATTACCTCATTAAAAACCTTCATGAGAACCTATAAAGTAAACTCATGAAGGGAAAAAGAGTATAATATGATGCTTTTAACAGGAACAATTCAGGAAGATACTCCCCCTGATTCTTGCAAATTCCGAAGCCGTCATATACCAATTCCATGAACATATTTTCGGAATGTAGAAATTGGTAGAGACTTGGTGAACAAATCATTCACATGATTTGACTTACAAGATATGCAATATAGTGATATTCCTTATTATGTAACCTGTTTGCATCTGGGCAACACAAGCAACATTATCTTTGAGATAATGGTTGGTGGATGTAGCCATGATGTCCGTTTCGAAGACTCTTCATGAGAGGTCTACCACACCTAGTAGGAACACTAAGCTTGTCTACGATCTGACATAGTGAGGATCTGATCGATGTATCCAATGATATCGGTGTTCATATTTCTATGAAACTAAAAAACCAGGACAAAATGTTTGATGCCTTGGAGATATCGAAAGATATTCTTGAGTACCAACCAATTGTGTTTGGTGGATCCAATGGCTTATGGAACGTTGAGTCCCAATATCTCATTTCCATCATCTCTTGGTCTAAATCGATCTTTTTCTACGTCTAGAGAATGAACTATCATGAGAGTTATGGATGGATAAGATTTGTCCACAATGAATTTCTCCAATATATTTTGGATATAGACAACATAGTAAACCATAATGTATGAATGAAGGTGCTCAAGTTGTAGTAACGAGCGGTATTTTGGTTTACCCAAATCCTTCATTTTAAACTCTGTCATTTAGATGATTACATGTGTCATCATTGCAGACACACAAGCATGTATAATCATCGTTGTAGGAGTAATCCTTGTGCATAAGGATCTCACTACGTCAGTTGTACCATATGTACTGACAACAATAAGTCGTATGGTGACTTACTGATTTTACATAATGTATGTTGCATTTTGTATTTCGATTCAGAATTGAGATTCCATCGGGAAACAATCATATATGTCTGAATCTAGTGATCCACCTGGATATGTAATCACTACATCTATCAACTGCAGAGATAGATGATTTTGAACTGCCAATGATATAAGTTATCGGAATGAGATTCCACCTCTGGAGAATAGTTGGGTATCTGCATGAACTCTTGTGCTACAATACTTGCTCTTTGTTTCACCACCTCGTTGTTCTCAATTCTGTTTCCAGAAGAAAACTGGTGTAGGTATTGCTTACGAATACCTTCCATTATTGAGCAAGATCATTTCTACCTAGATTATACCCTTTGCTTGAGTTCGGTCCGAGTGTTGTTCACACTTTGCCATGGCCATGGTCTTTGGATCTGAATCATTTGAAAGGTTTTTGCAATCTAGTTGAGAAATGTATGTCGACAATTGTAGACTTCTGGTTATATGGTTCTCCAGAATCTATATAACAATATATAGTTGATGGAAATATTGTTACCCATGGTGACTGCTCATGATTTCCCAATGCGATTGAGGTATTCCGATGTCCCGGTCATTGTGTGCACTATGACCTGGGTTGGTGGAGGTTTCCCGTCCACTGGGTGTATACTACCCATTAGGTGTCTGCCAACGTGAAGTTGACTTGCATTTACTGATTCACAGCCCTTGATATCCTTGCTTGCGAGAAGCTGAATCCCAATGTACTTCTGCCATACATCTCCCCCTGTTGCTTTGAACGGGGAGTGGAGTGGATTTTGTTGGTACCTCCACTCTTTCATGCGTACTTTTGCAGGATTGTAGGATTGTGTGACACCTTTATAGTCAGTAAAAGAATCTGGCAGATTATTTGCAATGTGTTGCAAATCTTCTGAACGCATGGTTCAGATCTTTGAGTACGTGGATTTGAGGCAGAAATGTGTTGAACATTCCACTAATTTCCTGGCATTTTTATGGTACTTGAATCTCCCCCTAATGCCTGGAAATGTTCCTCATTGTATCAACATACTGGCCTTGAATAACTCCCCATGTGAGGGGCTTGAGGTATGGACGGTAATACAGTTATTCCTCACATAGATCCCAACTATATGTTGAGGGGCCAATGATGTATGCCGGAGTGATGATATCGGTGTGTAACCGAATTACCGCAGATAGGAAATACTTGATAGATTTCCACGTATCAAAGATAGAGGGGAATAAAATTATGCAGTTTGGTCATGAGCGTGTAAAACTCCATGACTCCAACGTAAAGTTGGTAAGTTGCAATTTCAAAGTAAAGATCATGCAATGAGCTCAATTCTTTGGATGGGGTTCTACCAAACCATTTTGAGTCTAGACATTAGGACACATTGCTAAACTTCAATCCGAGGGCCATAGAAAAAGGCACTCAAGGAGAATTCTGCAAATGATATCCATTCGATTTGCTTGAAATCGATGTCAGGATAATGAGTCAATGGTTTCGTGTGAATAAAGCACACTTGAGACCATCATGTAGATGTGTCTTTGGAAAAACCATGGATACCTGAATAGTCTAGTCAATGGTTGGGAAAAACCACTTACCTCGTCTTGATGCATTCAAGGAGTCTGAGTGGTTCATCGTAAACTTTAAGGTGCGCAATCCTTAAAATTAGCTTCCCTGTGTCATATGTAGTGCACACAAAATCCAAATATTGTTAGAATTTAGCATCATAATAATCATAAACCAATGGAATTGCCAATAGTTTTGGTTTCAACCCAATGTCTCGATGACCAAGGCAAGTATGCCAAGTTTGTCATGTACAAGATATTTTGAAAAACTATCTTGGGTGCAACATGCGCTACGGGTTTTGTAGTATGTGTAGTACAATCCAGATGATACATAGAGAATGTGCTTGTCATATCCGTAGCATATGGTAAAGAGAAGTTATTTCTCTTTGTTGTCATCATAAGTTTCACTATGGAAACTGTTTTGACGGATACCTCTATAGTTTAGTAGGGTACGAGTTAAACCGGGAAGCAATAAAGCATCCTGACATTACTCAAGTACCCACAGGGATAGTAAATATGACTCCAGTTGAGCCAACAAATACCTCATCGCGTCTAGCGATTTTAAAATATCTCCTTTCTCTCAACAAGAG